AAAGGGGAGTGGAGTTTGCAGGAGACAATTAGTTCGCTTCATTGTTTCGTGACTCTCCGAGACTCCTGGCCAAGTTCTGCAGAGATCGGCCTGGCAGCTCTCCGAGCCAGATGAGGTCTGTGACTGTAAATCCTCCCTCAAAAGACTTTGTTGGATGTGAATGAGCAGAATTCACAGTCAATTAATAAAAGGGGTTTTTTGTCGGGACACGGAGTTTGCTTCATGCTCTTGGAAAGCCTTGGTCAGAACAGTCGTATCAACTAGCCATTTCTATAACAACAGGTCAGTAAAATCCCAAATCAAAGTTTCATTTTTTTTCCACCTCAAGCACAAAGTCCAGAAGTGGTTTCCAAATAGAAACAAAAGTACTTGTGTTTTTTTTCTTTTTCTTTTATCAAAGCAGTCAATTTAGCCATTGTGATTTACAACTTGATGGGTCGGCTCTGTTATGGTCATTCAGGATTTACCTGTACCTGCTACCTATTCATGGCGGGTTTCCGTAGTACTTCCTCTTGACTTCATCGTCCTCTTTCTCCCTCCTGTTCAGGAATTGCAAATGAAACGGACGGCCATTGAGGCCTTCAACGAAACCATCAAGATCTTTGAAGAGCAGTGCCAGACGCAGGAGAAATGCAGCCGGGATTACGTGGAGCGTTTCCGGAGGGAAGGGAATGAGAAGGAGGTGCAGCGGTGAGACCCTTTCAGAATAAAACGGCATCTTTCCCCCTCTTCCCTACATGGGCTGAATTTCACAGAACAGAACAGAGAAGAAGGCGGAGCCCAGGAAAAAACAACAAATTTCCAGTTAATGGAAATGAATGAAGTACAGCTAATAGGGTTGATCCCTGTGTGTTTAATTTTCCCCAGCTGTCAAGTTAAAAGCTAGAATTTGCAGGCAAATTCTTGGTGCTGCTCTGTGGCCTTTCCAACTGCTTTTATCGTGGGCCACCATTATTGATTCGAAAAACCTCAACAGGACTATTTGGATGGGAAAGCACCAGGAAACAGCATTATAGGTTAGACTGGAATTATTATTTTTTTAACGCTGAGGCAAACCACTTCTGTAGTGTTGTCAAGAAGGCAATGTGGTTGTCTCTAAACTTGGGGGGAGAATTTCTCGTTTTTACTGTGTGCTCATCTTGCCGAACCTCAAACCAAAAAAAAGACATGTAATTCTTCCAAGCTGTGCTCGTTATTGTTTCACACCTATAGGCAAAATCTTGCCAGACTGAAGGCCCTACTATCTGTTTCTACAATACTGTATATTCTGTGAACCATTAAGCAGGGGCCATTCTCACCCTCTTTCTCTCACACATAATAATATCTGGGCTGAATTGTCTCTTACTCCTCTGGAAGAGGGGTCTCCAACCTTGGCAACTTTAAGACTTATGGACTTCAACTCCCAGAGTTCCTCAGGCAGCAAAGCAAAGCTGGCTGAGGAATTCTGGGAGTTGAAGTCTTAAAGTTGCCAAGGTTGGAGACCCCTGCTTTGGAATGCAGCTGCTGGGGATCCCCTGCTACTCCTCCCTGCTGGGGATCCACCTCCTCATTACATTCCCGCATACATCCTAACAAGAGCTGTTATTTATTAGATATTTATCCTCACCTTTATTACTTTATAAGTAACTCAAGGTGGCAAACATATCTAAATCCTCCTCCTTTGTTCTCCACAACAACTCTATGACATGAGTTTGGGCTGAGAGAGAGTGACTAGCTGATAGTCACACAGCCAGCTTTTGTGCCTAAGGTAGGACTAGAATTCAGTCTCCCGGCTCAGAGTTACCCAGCTGGCTTTCATTCCTAAAGCAAGACTAGAACTCACTGTCTCCAGGTGATTGGCCCAAGTCATCCAGTCAGCTTTCTAGTCCCTAAGATGGGACTAGAATTCAGTCTCCTGGTGATTGGCACAAAGTCACCCAGTCAACTTTCATGCCTAAGGCAGAACTGGAACTCACAGTGTCCTAGTTTCTAGGCCAGCACTTCACCAAACTGGCTCTGCTAAGGCAACTTCTGAGCCTTTCTTGCTTCTCTAACAGCCTGTCCCTACCTTTTTCCCTCCCCAGGATCATGATGAATTCAGAAAAGCTGAAGTCTCGCATTACTGAAATTCATGACAGCAAGATGAAGCTGGAGCAGGACCTCAAGCAGCAGGCCTCCGAAAACCGGGAGATCGACAAGCGCATGAACAGTCTTAAACCTGACTTGTTGCAGCTGCGCAAACTCCGTGACCAGTACCTAGTGTATGTGCTCTTCATAACCATCCTGAGAAATACAAGCATAAATGTGGTTTAAAATCTGCCTTCCCTAACCAAATGGGTTGGATGTCTATACGGGTAGTCCTTATCTTACAACTGGTCTCTTAAAGACCAGTCAAAGTTGCAATACAATGTAGAGTAGAGTAGTATAGAGCAGCGTAGAGCAGAGTAGAATAGAGTAGAATAGAATACTAGAATAGAATAGAAAAGAAAAGAATAGAAAAGAAAAGAATAGCGGAATTGGAAGGGACCTTGGAGGTCTTCTAGTCCAACCCCCTGCTCAGGCAGGAAACCCTATACCATTTCAGACAAATGGTTATCCAATCTCTCCTTAAAAACCTCCAGTGTTGGAGGACCACAATTTCTGGAGGCAAGCTGTTCCACTGATTAATTGTTCTAACTGTCAGGAAATTTCTCCTTAGTTCTAAATTGTTTCTCTCCTTGATTAGTTTCCACCCATTGCTTCTTCTACCCTCAGGTGCCTTGGAGAATAGCTTGACTCCCTCTTCTTTGTGGCAGCCCCTGAGATATTGGAACACTGCTATTATGTCTCCCCCTAGTCCTTCTTTTCATTAAACTAGACATACCCAGTTCCTGCAACCGTTCTTCAATGTTTTAGCCTCCAGTCCCCTAATCATCTTTGTTGACCCAGATCCAAAGTTATAATGGACACATACAGAGTCATGGGCACTTTTGGGGACTTAACAATTGGCCCTCATTTGCAGCCGTCTGAAGCATATTGAGATCATGTGACTGCAACTCAGAACTTTTTGTTTTTGCTAGAAACAAGCATTTTCTTAGTTTTTTGGGGGGAGGGGGGGAGATGCCTATTGCAGGCAGTGGATTTGCTTAACAATGGCCACATTTGCTTAAAAACTGCTGCAGAAAACGTCATAAAATTGGGGTCAGTCATGTAAGTGCCTTGATGTATGGCCTTCCTAATCTATGATGAAAAATTCTGGGTTCCCTTAGGGTCAAAATGAAGAGCTACCTTGATTTCCAGCTGCCTTTCTGATAATGTAATCCTGCCCCCCAGTGGCCTGTCTGCAAAATGCAGGTGCTCACCTAATTCAGTGCTGAAGCAAGTACAGACCTGCAAGGCTTTCAACCTGACTGCTACTGTGTGTAAAATAGTTAAAAGCCTTAGAAAGATGCTGACGACAGCTATCTAATGATTGGCTTTGCTTATCTGAAGAGGGCATGACCTGCTTCTAAAATGTTATTTTTCTGGTTAGGGTTAACAGAACATTAGGGGACGTGGTGGCTCAGTGGCTAAGATGCTGAGCTTGTCGATCGGAAAAGTCGGCAGTTCAGCGGTTCGAATCCCTAGCACCGCGTAACAGAGTGAGCTCCCGTTACTTGTCCCAGCTTCTGCCAAACTAGCAGTTGAAAAGCATGCAAAAATGCCAGTAGAAAAATAGGGACCACTTTTGGTGGGAAAGTAACAGCATTCCATGCGCTTTTGGCATTTAGTCATGCCGGCCACATGACCATGGAGACGTCTTCGGACAGTGCTGACCCTTTGGCTTTGAAACGGAGATGAGCACCGCCCCCTAGAGTCGGGAACGACTAGCACATATGTGCGAGAGGAACCTTTACCTTTAACAGAACATTATATTAACATGATCTTGGGACAGCTAAGTTTAAAAATAGCTATTTAATGATCTTTTTTTTTAAAGCTGTTCTTTTAACTTTAGAATTTTTCCAACCCATTGGGGGAATGCAAATAAATTACCATTTTATAAATGTGCACCAATGCCTTCTTGATGTGGTCACAAGTTGTCATTTTATTTTATTAGACTTGGCTGCAGCCTGGAAGAGCAGCTTTTGTGCACGTCCCTTAAATGCTGTTTGAAAATGAGCAGTTTTTGTTCCTTTTTTTTAATGCCTCCAGATGGTTGACCCAGAAGGGGACTCGTCAGAAGAAGATCAATGAATGGCTTGGTATCAAGAGTGAAACTGAGGAGTAAGTGGCTCCATTCTTATTTTTGCTCCAAGAGGGCTTATCAGCTCAAAGTCTATGTCTACAGGACACTGTTTTGCATTCAGAAGGTTCCAGATTGAAACACTGGTATGTCCAGTTACAAATGGACAGCTAGTAGGGGATTGGAAAGGCATCTTCGTGGCAGAGACTTCACTTGAGATTCTTACAATCTTCTGCATCCTGAACTGTCCTGTAGGAGGTCTAGCTTTAATTCCTATATCGTGAAGCGGTTGGCTTCACAATATAGGAATTAAAGCTAGACCTCCTACAGGACAGTTCAGGATGCAGAAGATTGTAAGAATCTCAAGTGAAGTCTCTGCCACGAAGATGCCTTTCCAATCGCCTACTAGCTGTCCATTTGTAACTGGACATACCAGTGTTTCAATCTGGAACCTTCTGAATGCAAAACGGTGTCCTGTAGA